TGGAGGGTGATGGGGTCAACGCCTAAGGGCTCCCAGTATGTGAGAGGGGGCAGGCTGGGCTGAGGGACACTCCCCCCCACACACCCAGTGCACGAATTTCGTGCACCAGGCCCCTAGTCTATATATATAAAAGCCTACGTGACCGTTCGACTGTTCTACCGGTAACTATGATGTGCACTGACCACCAGGGGACAGACGCTCAACGCACAGGCATGGAAACATGGAACAGACTGATGAATCTCAGAGGGAAGGAGAGAGGGGAGAGGATGGGAAGAGATTAACCAAAGATCTTATATACATCCTAGAGGTCCAATGCACAGATTTGTGCACCAGTGGGGTCCCTTGGCCTGGCCTGCGGGAATCAGGCCAAAACCCGCTCTCTGACATCCCCCGAGGGGTCCTGGATTGCGAGAGGGCACAGGCCAAGCCAAGGGACCCCACCAGTGCATGAGTCCGTGCACCAGGCCTCTAGTTAAACTATAAGAACTAAGACCTGGTTTAATAACTACTGTAATGGTGGGTATATGTTGAATTTTAGATATTTACGAATACTATATTGTGATTTGAAAACATCTGTGATTTTGATTGGTGACAGTCATGGGTACTGCTAATACAGCTGTTGCTGACATTCATAACTGAAGGAAATGATACACATCAGTACCAGGTTAATGAAAATAAAGATGTAACTTTTTTCTCATCCAAGTTTATAAACTTCATGGATTCTTTCTTTTTTTTTAATTTAAATATATATATTTTTATTGATTTCAGAGAGGAAGGGAGAGGAAGGGAGAGAGAGAAACATCCATGATGAGAGAGAATCATGGACCGGCTGCCTCCTGCACGCCCCCTACTGGGGATCGAGCCCGCAACCCGGGCACGTGCTCTTGACCGGGAATCGAACCTGGGACCCTTCAGGCCCCAGGCCGACGCTCTACCCATTGAGGCACACCAGCCAGGGACATGGATTCTTTCTTTTGCAAGTGACTCAGCCCTACAGATTTTCAGCCTCGCCTCCACAACTAAAATGGGAGCTCACTGAGGACCAGGGCTGCTCCTTCATCTTATACTGTCTAGAACGGGCTACCACTCAGTAGGGATCCAATACTAGAGTGTTGATCTCTTGGATTTTCTGGGTAGACAATCACGTTGATTGCAAATGACAGATTTTCTCTTTTCAATCTTTGTGCCTCTTGTTTCTTGTCTTATTGCATTGGCTGGGATCTTCAGTTCAATGTTGAATAGAGGCAGTGATGGTGGGCACCCTTAGCTTATTACACGAATGCTCATTTGTTAATTTATGCAATTGCATAATTACATCATGGAGTGTAAAGTACCTGCTCTATGCCACATTTTGTGCTGGGGATAAGGATGTAACACAACTGAGATCTTTTGAGAGAGGTAGGGAGAGGGGGGAAAAAAACCATTTGATTGGTTGCCTCCCTCCGGGGATCAAACCCACAACCTAGGTATGTGCCCTGACGGGAATCGAACCCAAAGCCTTTCAGTATATGACATGAAGCTCCAACCCTCTGAACCACATTGGCCAGGGTAAAGAGAAGTGTGTTATTTTAGGCCATTAGGTTTGTGGTAACTTGTTACAGAAGCTGTTACAGCAGTGGTGGGAAACTAATTCAACTCCAGGGACTTGAGACGCCTCCTACCCAAGCAGGGAGGTGTGTAGAAGATGCCGGCCCCTGCCTTTGGACGTTTGGGACAAGAGGTCTTTTGGGGAAGACTGGGGCTAACGGATCAACTGATTGCAGTGTGAGCAGTGAAATCAGGTATAAACCGAGTACTGGGGGAGCCTGGGCGAAGGAGGGCCCGCAGGGGAGGGGCTACAGCTGGGCGGGGAAGGTGAGGAGCAGTTGGCCTGGGCAAGGCCTGCAGGCAGGAAGGCCCCCTACTGCTGCCAATATCAGCCCTGGAGCCAGGTACCCCCTTTTTACCTCCAGCGTCAGCCCGATCCAGGGGCATCCTGACAGCTTCTAGGCTGGCCACCCTCCACTCCCTCAATATTGCAGATACTGTGCAGGGACAAGTAAGGCCACTCAGGGTCACCCCTAAGTAATTAGGGGTGTGGGGTGGAGGGTGCCAGAAGCCAGGCCGGTTTACGGAGTGTGTGGGGTGGGGAAGGGGATGGATCCGCCCCCCATTACGTCCCCCGCCCCCACATCCCGCCGGAGGAAGTTAGTGGTTCCCTCCTCCCACCCCTTCCCGCAGGCTTTTGGGGCCAGGACTCTCGTGATTCGGGGTTGGCTCCGCGGGCGGGGCCTGGTGTTTCTGCGGGGCTGCGGGAGCCCCCGGCCAGCTGGGGCCTGCGGAGCTGGAGGGCGGGGTGGGGGGAAGACCGAGAACTAGAGGGAGACGGACAGACAGGCTAGGACCAC